CCTGGGTGCACACCATCAATGTATCCCACATCCCCATCACCCCAAAGCCAAATACCCCCAACCAAAATCCCAGCTCTTAAAAACTTATGTGTTCAATTCCCCCGGCCCTCTACACACACTGTACCCACACATCCTAGCTCCAAACAAACACCCCCCACATTAAGATGACCCACTATGAATATCCGCTACTTTCGGAAGTGGGGTGGGGAGAGGCTGAGACTTGGCACCATGCTCTGCAGTGGGCATTGGGCTATAGCTCCCCACCTTCATCTCCTGACCCCAGCTCCCAGCCTTCCCCTGGTTCAGTCACACTCCACCCTGCAGCAAGGGCTGTTCTCTCTAGTTTGTGACTAGCCCACGTTCTCACCTTAGTGCCTTGGGTCATCCCCCCGCTCTGGGCCCCACAGGGGGAACTCATAGGGTCCCTGGAGCAAAACCACGGAGATGGGTTCCTGGATCCTCTTGGCAGGACACTGTCAGCACTTCCCTGGGTCTACACGTCCCACCTCTGCTCGCCCTCTCCCCCACCCCATGCACTGAGCTGCCTGATGATTCCCATATGGCCAGCTCTTCTTGATTTGAGTCTCATGATGTATTGTGATTTTTCCCCTAAGGCCCCAGAACCTGGAGTCGTGTGACTACACCAGACTCTCAGCTTTCACTTTCTACAAAAATTAAGTTTCTCATCCTTATGGTTGCAATTTAAAAAAGCATCAACGTGGTGAACCTTCAAGGCTCAAAAGCCAGAAAGAAAATAGAAAAGGGTGACCATATCGCCTGCTGTCGGGACAGTCCCCTTTTTTAAGCTGTGTCTCGCCCTGCCCCAACATTTTGGCAAAGTGGGCTTGTCCTACTTGCTCTTGCCAACTTGATCAGATGGCAAGAGCAAATGGGACAAATGCCACTTTTGTCAGCCAAGTGGGGTGTGGAGGAACATGCGTCGGGAGACAGGGCTTAGGCAGGGGGCAGGTAGGGGCTCTGGCAAGCAGTGAAGCGAGCCATGCTGGGAGGGGAGGGGGGGGCAGGGCTCAGGCGAGAGTTGGGGCCAGTCCCACACAAGGTGGAGGGCTCAGGCAAGACAGCCAGCCCCGTGCCATCTCCCATTTTCCCTTTGGGGGAATATGGTCACTCTAAAATAAAGAGATCTCCACGTGTGTTATTTTTTTAAAAATCTCATGATTCTTAAGTCAATCTCTTGATTTTCAAATGCTTCGATGGGCAACAGCATCATCCCCACCACGCTCCACAGAGCCTCCTGCAGGGAACTTGAAGGAGGAGCCAGGCCCCGCAGGAAGGAAGGGAAGCACCAGGCAGCAGTCAGTCTGTGTGCACATGGCTAGCATGCCAGCTGCAGCTGCAGCACTTCTGTCAATACTTCTCTGCCTCAGTTTTACAAGCATGGTATCCCACACTCACGTTATTATTACCCAGTATGTGGCACATGAAACATGCAGGACGGGCTTCTGGCATCTAGGACAGCAAGGGCTCCACTCCGGTTCCTCCAGGGGGTGGGATGCAGGCCCGCGGGCAGATGTTGTGCCCACAGCTGGCATCTATGAAATATTCCAGGCACACGGGGCAGGAGGAGAGCGTATCTGGCAGGCTCGGCCCTGGGCTCCCGTTACCGGCCATGGCTGCTCCGCACATACAAAGGGCTCTAGTCTCTGCTGGGGTTGGGGGGCGAGGGGGGGCAAGGCGAGGTTGTGGTGGGAAATGGAGAGGCGTCTCCTCGCCAGGGATTGGCCCATGTTCTGGGGCCCCCGCCAGGGTCTTTGTGACACTGGGAGCATTGAGACAAAAGTCAGCCTGGAGGGGAGAGAAAACACCCTGATCCCAGGCAGCCGGGTCTGCAGATCCACTGGGGGAGCGGGGAGGAGAGACCAGGCTGGGGGGAAGGGAAGGGGAGCGGCAGGGCTGGGGAGACCGGACGCCTGGGTTCTAACCCCAGGGTCTGGGAAGGTTCGGGTCCAACCCTGAGAAAGCCCCAGGGGGCGGTTGCAGCCCGAGTCGCTATGGAGGGACGCATATGAAGGGAGCGGAGTGCGGCTGAGAGCGGGTGGCTGGTGTGGGAGGAAGGGGAGGGGGAGAGGAAAGAAGAGAGGATCAGGAGTCTCGGCATCATCCCCTCGCCTGGGAGCTGCTCATCAGCTCGGCTGTTAGAAGAAGCGGCTTCTGTGCCAACCTTGGGAGCCCGGGCTGAGCCGCTACTGCTCCTCCCAGCTGCGTCTGTGCTGGGGAGAGCCCCGCATTAACCCCCTCTGGGCCCAGCTGGGGGACTTTTCTCCGAAGCCGGAACCAGCCCCGGGCTCTGCCGACACCAGCCCCTGAGCCGGAGCCTGCAGGTGAGGGAGAGACCCGGGGAAAGGGCTGGGGCCGGGCAGGAAAGTGGCTCCGCACCAACGGCCCCTGGGAATCTGCTCCCTTGTTTAATGCGCCTGCCGAAGGGATTGAGCTGCCTTAACAGCAAGGCTGCTGCTGCTTCTGGTCTCAGTCTGCTCTGAGCACTGGTCAGGATCTGTCCTAGGGGCAAAGTTGCGGGGGTGGTGGCTTCAGCTGGGGAAATTGGGGAGGAAGAAGTGGACTTAAGGGGCACCATCAACAGACTCCTCCCCAAGGGGGTGTCCCCCTTTTTGTCTGAGGGAGGGTAGGGTTGTCAGGAAGGTTAAGGGTGAAAAATATGACAGAGAAGTAGAGAGACAGTGTGAAATGTGGTCAGTTTAATCATCTCTGAAGTTAGTGTGAACAACGGGAGAGACAAAGGGGTGGCTCACAGGAGAGGGGAGAGTGTGTGTGCAGTAGTGATGGAGGGGGTGGGGTGGGGTTGGTTAAAGTACACAGCTGCTGTCAAAAAGCAATCAGAATGTTGGGAATCATTAGGAAAGGATCTCACAAAAGTGGGTGACGGGGCAACAAAATGGCAGATGAAATGTAATAAGTTGACCAATTCAAAGTAATGCACATTGGAAAACATAATCCCAACTATACATATAAAATGATGGGGTCTAAATTAGCTGTTAACACTCAAGAGAGATCTTGGA